TGCCAGCTAGAGTATGTAATTGTACTGGTTCTAAGTGTTGGAGAGGAAGGAGTGTAGAGGCTTCATGGGCAAAATAGGGATTCATTCCACTTAGGGCCAGCCTCAGTGATTTCCCTTGTATATTGATTACAACTAGAATGCCAATAAGTCCATCCATCAAGTGGGAATCCTGAGTAGAGAAGTTGAAGTATAAAAAGTGATAGAAACTGCATTGCCAGCTCTTACCTGCTGCTATCAGTTTGCAAATAAAAAAATGAGGTGTTTTTTTCCCCCCAGATACCCAAGCTAGTTGGAACCATTCCTGTATTCCTTCAGGTATGTGGTTCTTTCTTAGTAATGCTATTTATTTTTAGTGGGCTGCACCTAGAGACTTAGGTGGCCTCTATTGGAATACAGGGTATTCTTTTTGCTTCTGTACCTAGATGGAAGAATGGCCCAACCTGGAGCAAGCTTGATGCAATAACTTACCCTGTCTGATATAGTAGGTTCTGAAGATGCTTCATTATATACAATTAGGTTCAGAAACGTAGATGGGGAGGGATCCTTTCAAGAAAGGATTTTACTCTAGCCTTGTTGAGAAAGATCTTCCCTTTTGGTTAGTTGTGTAAGATAACCTTCTGAAGAGTTCTAAAACTGTCAGGAAACAATTTTAGTAGCTTACAAACAACATTCTACAACAATCAGCATATATCAAGTACTTTTTTGGCTATGCTACATTTAGGTAAGCTGTTTTTACTGAAATTATGTTATACGTTTTGTAGTATCTCCCAGAATTGATGGTGTAGGTACTAGGAATATATAAGAAATCTGTAAGACAAAATATGCTTGGGAATTCAAAAGAATAGGAATATGATTTTTAAAGTGCATCTTGTTTGGCAGGAATTTCCCTTTTAAAGAAACGAATTATCCAGCTTCATTTGCTGTCTTAAAACTTAATCTCAATTTTATATTAAGTATATCTTCTGTATCTTTTGACTTAAAAATTTCCTTACATCTAGATTACAGTGAAATAACTTCCCCAGGACTACTGAAATAAAAATCTCTTCGGAATGAAGTTAAGTGTGTCCTGGTAAAACGACTGATTGTTGAGCATGACCAAAAATTGTAAAGTGAAGTGCAAATACAAAGAGCTATTTGCCTGTTGTGGTTTGGTCCTGGTTTGTGATGGTTTAGTACTTGTAGGTCTTCTATAATGCTCCTGGGACATTTTTGCCTGGCCAGATAAACAATAGGAGTGGCTTAAGATGCTTGAATTCCCCAAATGACTGGAATGAACAAGAGCAGACTTTTCTCATCTTGTTTATAGTCGCTGGTACTTTCCACTTAAGCATCTACAGCCAACCTAACTCCTGAAAGTGATGTGTGCCTACATACATGAGAAAACAGGGAATCTGTTTTTTTTTTTTTTTAATGCACACTTTCTTTTTAAAGGGAGGCAATTATTAAATGTACAGACACATTTTCCCCAAGTTGAGACATTTTACGTGCGATAGACATCGGGATATCTGGTTTACTGAAAACGGTATTTTTGGAAGCTGGGCTATTTTCAGACAATGCAAATGTCCTGCCTTTCCTGCCTTTTGTTCAGAGCGGATGTAAGGGCACCGGGGTCACAGCGTGTAGGTTCCCAAGGCCCCGTGAGCCATGCGGAGCTGTGAGATCAGATCGCTAAAGCTTTAAACATTAAAAAGTCCAGTCGGCTCTCGGGCGGGGTTCAGATGGCACCTGCGGGGCGCTGGGAGCGTCCGCCGAGCGGGACTTCAGCCACTTCCTCCCGCTGCGGGGACCCGAGGACTCGACTGGGAACCTCGGGAGAGCTCCGGCCCTCTCCACCCGAGGGGGTTCGGTCTCGCCCCGCCAACTTCACGCCCCGGCGCCCGGCGCACGCTCTGGTTTACGGGTGTCCAGACGCATTTGCGGGAGCGCCGTCTGGTTCCCGTCCGCAGACGCCCGGCCTTGCGCTTGGACCGGCTCCTGTCCTGTCCGCGCACGTCGGGGCCGCGCGCTGTCCAGGGAGCATGCTGTCCGGGGAGCAGCGCCGTGCGGTCCCAGCAAACGGCAGCCGCCGCAGGTGCACGTTCCGGGCGCGGGGCCGGCGTGCCGCCAGTGGGCGCTGTGGGCCCGCGGATCCCCGGATCCCCGGCAAGGAGCCGGCGCCTCCCACAGCCGAGGACCTCCTAGGACCGGCCGCCGTCCCCGGCCCCAGCTGGAGCCCCAGCGTCCGCCCCGCGTCCACCTCGGCTGCTGAGGGGGGGGGAGGGCGCGGCCGGGGCGCCCGCGGGGAAGGGGCGCCCGCCAGCCGGTCCCCATGACCCTCAGCCCTTGACCTGGGTGGAGCCGCAGTTGACCCTGTGCCCTACGAGGACGGAGGAGGACACGCTCTGGGTCTGCAAGGGGACCACGGGGGGCAGGGGGCGGGGGGTGGGGGAGGGTGGGGGGAGGGGACAGCACTGGCTGCTTGGGGGTGGGGTGTGTAGGGCGGGGGGTGGGGTGTGGAAGGGAGGGGTGTGGTGTGTAGGATGGGGGTGGGAGTGGGGTATGTAGGTGCGGGGTGTGTATGGGTGGAGTGTGTAGGGGAGGGGGGTGGGGTGCAGGGTATGTAGGGGTGTAGTGGGGGATATGTAGGTGTTGGGTGGGGAGGGGTGGAGTGGGGATGTGTAGGAGTGGGGAGGGGCGGCATGTGTAGGAGCGGGATGGGGGTGTGTAGGGGTGGGGGGTGTGTAGGGGCGGGATGGGCGGTGTGGAGGGGTGGGATGTGTAGGGGCGGGGTGGGGGTGTGGAGGGGGTGGGGTGTGTAGAGGCGGGGTGGGGGTGTGGAGGGGGTGGGGTGTGTAGGGGTGGGGTGGGGGTGTGTAGAGGCGGGGTGGGGGTGTGGAGGGGGTGGGGTGTGTAGGGGTGGGGTGGGGGTGTGGAGGGGGTGGGGTGTGTAGAGGCGGGGTGGGGGTGTGGAGGGGGTGGGGTGTGTAGGGGCGGGGTGGGGTGTGTAGGGGCGGGGTGGGGGTGTGGAGGGGGTGGGGTGTGTAGGGGTGGGGGGTGTGTAGAGGCAGAGTGGGGGTGTGGAGGGGGTGGGGTGTGTAGGGGTGGGGTGGGGGTGTGTAGGGGCGGGGTGGGTGTGTAGGGGTGGGGGTGTGTAGGGGAGGGGTGGGGGTGTGTAGGGGTGAGGTGTGGAGGGGTGAGGTGTGGAGGGGTGGGGTGCGGTGTGGAGGGGTGGGGTGGGGTGTGTAGGCGCGGGGTGGGGGTGTGTAGGGGCGGGGTGGGGGTGTGTAGGGGTGGGATGGGGTGTGTAGGGGCGGGGTGGGGTGTGTAAGGGGTGGGGTGGGGGGTGTAGGGGTGAGGTGTGTAGGGGTGGGGTGGGGTGTGTAGGCGCGGGGTGGGGGTGTGTAGGGGCGGGGTGGGGGTGTGTAGGGGCGGGGTGGGGTGTGTAAGGGGTGGGGTGGGGGGGTGTAGGGGTGAGGTGTGTAGGGGTGGGATGGGGTGTGTAGGGGTGGGATGGGGTGTGTAGGGGTGGGGTGGGGTGTGTAGGGGTGGGGTGGGAGTGTGTAGGGGCGGGGTGGGGTGTGTAGGCGCGGGGTGGGGGTGTGTAGGAGTGGGGTGCGGGTGTAGGGGTGGGGTGGGTGTGTAGGGGCGGGGTGGGGGTGTGTAGGAGTGGGGTGGGGGTGTAGGGGCAGGGTGGGGGTGTGTAGGGGTGAGGTGGGGGTGTGTAGGGGTGGGGGTGTGTAGGGGTGAGGTGGGTGTGTAGGGGTGGGGTGGGGTGTGTAGCGGTGGGGTGGGGGGTGTAGGGGCGGGGTGGGGGGCTTAGGGGTGGGGTGGGGGTTTGTAGGAGCGGAATGGGGTGTGTAGCGGTGGGATGGGGGGTGTAGGGGCGGGATGTGTAGGGGAGGGGGGTGGAGTGTGGGGTGGGTGTTCCCCCTCCCTCATGGAAGCTTCCTTCCAAGACCCGAGGATGCCAGTGCGCGCCGCGGCGTCCCTTCGGTGGTCTGGAACTTAGGACTCTGGTCCGGCGAAGAAGGCGCGCCGCCGGGGCGCGGCGAGCTGGTCGGGCCGGCCGCCAGGCGTGCCCAGGGCGGCCCCGTCTCGGCCCCGGCCGACTCCGTCTCAGTGTCCGCACCTCGCCGGGGCGCGCGGGGTCCACGCGGGTCCACTCCTCGCCTGCCGCAGGCGGCGCGGCGCGGCGCGGCGCTCGGGGCGGGGGGCGGGGCTCACCTGTCACCGGCGCCCCGCCTGGCGACACCCGTGTGGGGCGGGGCGGCGAACGGACGGGCCGGCCGGCCAATGGGCACGCGGCTCCCTCGCGGCGGGCCAATGGGCTGCGCGCCACGGGGCGGGGCTCCGCGTTTATAGCGCTCTGACAGCGCGCCGGCCGCGCTGACTCTCCTCGGCGGGGACGGCGGTGCCGGCCGGGACGAGGAGCTACGCGCCGCGGGTCCCGAGCCCTCCCCGCACACAAAGGCCCGCGCGCGTCCGGCGCCCGCGGGGGGCCGGGCCCCTCCTCCTTGCTCCGCGGGCCTCGGGAGGCTCCCGCGCCCCCGAAGGCGCCCTTTTTTCCGCTCCGCGCTCCGGGACATGGAACCGCGCCGACGCGGCGCCCGCGCGTTGAGGCCACCGCCGGCTCCCCTGGATCTATAGTCAGAGGCGGCCCCGCTCCGGGCCGTTGCGCCCCGCCGCCCCACGCCGAGGCGTCTCCGCTTCGGGCCTTTGTCCCGGGCCCGGCACCCTGGAGCCGCACGGGAGCCGTCCGTCCGAACTGCGTCCGGCGCGGCGCCCCGGAGCCCCGAGTCCGCCGCCGCGCCCGCGCGCCCGACCCCACCCCGCGCCCTGAGGGCCTCGGAGAGCCGCGCACCTGGCCGAGCCACCGCGGGAGCTGCTCGGCGCGCCCTCCGCCCGCGCCGCCCGTCCAAGCCCCGGAGGATTCGGGAAGATCCGACCCGCCGCGCCGCGTCCGATCCTTCGGCGCCCGCCCGCCCGCCCGCCCGCCCGCCCGCCCGGGGAGGGGAGCGCGCGGCCGGGAGCGGCTCGGCCATGGCCGCGAGGAGGGACTCGCTGTGGAAGTACTGCTGGGGAGTTTTGATGGTTTTGTGCAGAACTGCCATTTCCAGGTCGATAGTTTTAGAGCCTATCTATTGGAATTCCTCCAACTCCAAGTAAGTGGCGTCCGCGATCTCCTCCCTCCTCCCCCACCCCGGTCCCGCCACGGGGTGCGCCTCGCCGCCGTCGGGGGGCGGGGAGGAGGGGTCGGCCCGCTGGGTTGTTGGAACGCCGGGCTCCGAGATCCCCCACCCCCGGCCCCCCGCTTCCCTCCCTGGATGGAGGCTAGCCTGGCTTGTCCGGCGCCCGCGCCCGCTCCAAAGAAGGCTCTCCCCGCCCGGCCTCCCGCGATCGCTCCCGGCGCACATCACTCCCCCCCCCCCCCATCCCGATCGTCCCGGGGGTGTCTGGTGGCGGCGATCCCCGACCCGAACGACGGGGCCCAAGCCCTGGAGCTTGAGCGACGCGCCGCCGCCGGAGGTACGCGCAGGCTGGCGGAGCTGCGGCGATCGCGGGGAGCGCACGGCGCGCGGACCCGGGCCCTGCGCACCGTGGGGAGCGCAGCCGGTGGCGACGGGCGCGCAGTCCCGGAGGAGGGAGCCCGCTGCTGCGCCGGTCCAGCCATCGCCTCCGTCCCCCGACCGACCTAGGCCGTAGGTCCCTCCCCCCACCTCCCCGAGGGCCCTGTGCTCGTGGGCTCTCCCTCTGGTTGATAAACCAGTGTCCCCCACCACCCTTCACTCTGCGCAGTCCTAGTGACTGGGTGAAGGTTCCAGAACGCCTTCTTCTGAAGCTTAGGGCCCAGTCTGCGCGGCTCCCGATGCCGCGAACCTCGAGGTAGGAGGGGATCGATCCGTTTGGATAGATCAGCCTCGGTCCCCGGTTACGGCCCGGGAGGAGCAGGCCCCAGGCCCCGGGAGGGGGACGTGGAACTCCACGGAGAATTGAGAAAAACCCGAGCCATCTAATCTATTCCAGTGCACGGCCCTTCCCGGTCCCGCGTGCACTCGGGGCTGCCTCTTACTCCATCCTCGCCCGCCCCCCCCAAAAAAAAAGCATCTCGCAGAATCCTGGAACCTGACCCTTGGAGAAACTTGGGGGCGGGGGGGGGGGGGTGGACGCGTGGAGGACACCGGCTGTTTCTGGAGTGAGCCGTTGGGATCAGAAGCCAGACCCGTGGCCTCGATGGAGGCCGAGTCCACGGCGCGTGGATTCAGAAGTAAAAAACAAAAAACAACCAAAAAAAGTCGGGGCATGGGTGTAGAAACGGCATCGCCACGAAAGAACTAGATCGACTCTCTCCTAAAAGCGGTGAGTCCAACCGACGTCCACCACCTGTGAGCCCAACGGCGCCCCGGGTGAAAGGGGCGAAGCGGCCCCTCCGGGAGGCCGTCGGCGCGGGGACTGGTTCGTGGTGCTGGGTGGCACTTTTTTGCACCCACGGACCCTATGTGAAAGTTACTCCTTGCTGCCGCCGCCTCCTGCATACTGTGATCCCGCAGATATACAATATATATTTAATGTAACATATTGCATTTGCTGTTCTGGCGGAGGCCTCGTGCCGGGGATACGGAATAACGAGGCATCAGGCGGAGGGCGGGAAGGCGCCTTGGCGGGGACCCGCGCGCCCTGGCCGGAGCCGCGGCGCGGAGGACCGGCACGGAGGCCAAGGCCCGGCCCGGCGAGGCGGCGGCGGCGGCGGCTGCGCGCGCGCGCAGCGCCTCCAGAGGTCACCCTTCCCTGCGCAATGCGGCCGCCCGCCCGGCGCTCGCTGCCGCCCGCCCGGGGTTCGCCGCCCCCCGCGCTGGTATCTCCGCGCGGGGCGGGCTGCATCCTTTATTTCCTTGCGGGATCGGATGCTTCTGTTTAAATCGCGGTGCAAAGAAATTACCACCCCCCCCCCCCCAACCCCCAGCCTCGGTCCGTGTTGCGCTCAATCCATCCGATCTCCGCGTCCCAGCGTCTTTGTGTGCCTTTGAGAGGAGGCTTAGGAAGATCGACTTGGATTAACCAACAGCAACAACCATAAAAATAAAGGAGAACAAGATTCCCACCCAATACTCAGGCAGGACTGTTTTCGTTTTGTAACGTGTTCAGGGGAGAGGCCTAGGAGAGGAATGATGTTTCCCCACGGTGAGATTCGATTCCGCAGCTTCTCTGAGCAGTGGTCGCAGGCTTAGCACCCTGGGAAGGAAGGACCTGACCGGGGGAAGGCCGCTCCCCGTCCCCGGCAGGAAAATGCCTTTTAAGTGCTCACGATGGTTTTGCGAGGTCCGGTGGATACTGAATCTCTAGAGAAGGTCGATTTTCAGAGGAGGGCAGCTGAACGCTTGCCTAAGAGGTCAGGATTTCTGCCTAGAAGACTGACACAGAAAAGCCTTTTAAAAAATTCCCCTCCTCCTCCTACCCTGAGGTTGAGTACGGATTAACCGGCCTGGGGCCAGGGGGGCGTTGTACTTGGGAAAGTTGCACACTTATTTCCAGGCAAAAGTTGCGGTCGATGTGGCAGAATGTGATCGAATCCATTGACGTTTCGCGTCACTCCGTCTGAGCTGTGGCACAATTCGTTTGTTATAAAGCAACCACCAGTAATTAGATTTGTGTCATTCGAGGGTCAGCTCTTTTAGCAGGTGGTCCACACAGGAGCAAGCGGCAGCTGTGTGCATGCAGGCTCCAGAAAAATCCTTTGTAAATTCGGCGTCTCCATAACTACATTAGTCGCATTGTCCGTACTTCCATCTCTGGGAGTTTATAGAATACTCATGTCCTAAGTAGTGGCTGCCCTGTGAGATTATTTGTATGGTATCCATAGATGGGTTCTGGTACCAATAGGTGCTTTGGGAAGACAGCAGCAAAGCCTAGCTTCCATCTTAAATGAACACTTCAATACAACTTTTTTATCCCCACAGTATGCTGGCTTTGCTGAAGTAAAATAGTTGATTAAAAAAATAATCATTCCACTTGAATGTGAGAATATCTGTACCTGTATAGTATTCTAGAGTAGATTTTGCTGACTTTGTTGAAATGTTTTTTTTTTCCACCAGGGCCTAGGCTTCTATTCTGTGCCTCACATCCTAGTTACTTAACAAAGCATTTTGCTTTTTTCTGTTAATTTTTTCCCCTACATAATACTGAATTCCTGATATTGATTGACTTGATACAAAAGAATGACGGGATAATATCCAGATAACCTCTAATACTTAGAGCTCTCCCCAGTCAGGCTCAGGACAAAGGCTGGCCTGTCAGATTGATAAAATAAACTACAATGGGTAGGGCTGTTTAAACAGCCCATTCAATAACATATATATGCCAGCCTGCCTTCCATTGTGTCTGAAATTCTTATTTTTGTAGGTAAACAAATGCACATTCAGCACTGATTGAATAGCCCTTGAACTATGCTCACAGTTTGCTTTTGGGTTAATCTTGTCGGTTTTAATATAGAGAAAAAGCAAGCACAAAGCACCAGGGTGGAATTGTTCTTGCTTTTGCATCCACATTCCGTGCATTTTGTCAGGCTGATAAACTGTAGGTAATGGACAACTGAGCCAGGCAGAGGGAGCACAAAGACAGAGCTGAAGTGATAGCTCCGACCATGCCTGCTAGCCTTCTTTTGAGCATTTATTTGGGAATCATGTGTCTCGGGACTGCACTTCTTAACCTCAACAATTACGGCTTGGAGCATCAGAAACAAGAGCTGGAGGTTAAGATGATTTGGTAAGCACTTGCTTCTAATCTATCACAAAGCATAGCTGTTGACATTTGTCCTACTGAGGAGAGAAAATGCAAATGACTCTGAGGATCCTAACTGCTTCTCCTTCCAAGCCAGCTAAAATAGGAGGGGCAGGTGAACTGCCCGGATACCACCTAAGCACTGCATGGTGGGATGGCTTCTGCTCTAGAGCCAGATGAACAACCATTTTGTGTGTGTGTGTGTGTGTGTGTGTGTGTGTGTGTTTTAAATAGTAGTTTTCCTCAAACCTCTTCTGGGCACACTAAGTGGGGGTGAGTCCTCTAATTGATGGATCCTCATAATAGCTGCCTTCAAGCCAACATGGCTGCTTGGAGCTACTAAATCTTAGCTGTCCTGGCTGTCCTGGCTGTCCTTCCTTTGAGATGTTCAGGCTGGTGGCTGGAGTTGCCTGTTACACCCGCCTTGGAGTGATGGTGTCTCCCTCAGAGTGCTCACCTAGTGGGAAAGTATTGGAGACCTCAGTGTGACTACAGCCTTGCGTCACAGGAGTGGGAGGGGCAGGCAGGGAGAAGGGAAATGCAGATTGTAAACCCTACCCCCCCCCCAAAAAAAAAAGATTGTTTTAGGAGAGCTGTTTCCTTGACATTTTATGTAAACTTTACTGTCTGATTAAAGATTTCACCACAAATTGGACAAAAATAAGCGCTCTTCTTCAAAAGAGAACGGAAAGAGCCCTCTAGTCTGCTTAGTCTGCCTTCCTTTGCTGCTGACATAAAGAACCTGTTTTTCAGGTCACTTATATGTCTACATAGATTGGCTTATGAGCTCACCCTTTGTGGAGCCTCTTTTAAAGAGGAGTGTTCAACTGTTTAAAATATTTTGATTAAAATGTGCAGAGCCCAGAGAGAGCTACAAGCTTCTAGTGAGGAATTAGCTCTTTAGGGAAGAGCTACCGCCCCCCCCCCCATTTTTAGGGGAGAATTAGAATGGGGGCTGGGTAAGGAATGAGAATAGCAAAGAAGGAAAGAGAGCAAATAGGACATGTTCCGAACAGCTTGGAAAAACTCCTGTGGCTTCATTGTTTCTCTAAAGCCAAAGAATACAAAGACGTAAGCCATTCAGCCCTTCTCCCGTGATGGAAAATGTAAAGGGGTGACATGCCCCCCCTGTTTAACTTGTTTAACTCTCATTTCAAATTCAGCACTACACTAGCCGTGTGAACTCTGAAGATTTCTTTAGTAATCCATTTTGTAGTTCCGAATCAAAAACAAAGTGAAAGGGTCTGACACAATTTGCTTTTATTTTTAGGCAAATCAACCCTGGCCATAGTTAATAAGGGGATTACAATCCAGACTAGGTCTTTTACAGATGTAATGTAAATCAAGGGCAGCGCATAAAGAAACTGATCCCTTTTGATTGAAGTAT